CGACGACCCGATCTCTGGACACGGAGACTAGCCCTGGGGACATGGAATGTCACCTCGCTGGTGGGGAAGGGGGGCTGGAAAAGGCCCCGACTGGGGACTCCGTTGTTCGACTGGGGGACTTCAACACCCACGTGGGCAGCGACAGTAACACCTGGAGGGGCGTGATTGGGGGGAACGGCCCCTCCGATCTGAACCCGAGTGGTGTTTTGTTATTGGACTTCTGTGCTAGTCACAGTTTGTCCATAACTAACACCATGTTCAAGCATAAGGGTGTCCATCAGTGCACATGGCACCAGGACACCCTAGGCCGGAGGTCGATGATCGACTTTGTGGTTGTTTCATCTGACCTCCGGCCGTATGTCTTGGACACTCAGGTGAAGAGAGGGGCGGAGCTGTCAACTGATCACCACCTGGTGGTGAGTTGGATTCGATGGTGGAGGAGGAAGCTGGACAGACTTGGCAGACCCAAACGTATTGTGAGGGTCTGTTGGGAACGTTTAGCAGAATCCCCTGTCAGAGAGATCTTGAACTCTCACCTCCGGCAGAGCTTTGACCAGATCCTCGGGGAGGTTGAAGACACTGAGTCCGAGTGGACCATATTCTCCACCTCCATTGTCGATGCGGCCGTTCGGAGCTGTGGCCGTAAGGTCTCCGGTGCCTGTCATGGTGGCAATCCTCAAACCCGGTGGTGGACACCGGAAGTAAGGGATGCTGTCAAGCTGATGAAGGAGTCCTTTTGAGCCTGGTTGGCTCGTGGGACACCTGACACCAGCCCAGGCAGTTGCGGGGGCAAAAACTCGGGTCTGGGAAGAGTTCGGTGGAGAAGGACTATCGGTCGGCCTCGAAGAAATTCTGGCAAACTGTCCGGCACCTCAGGAGAGGGAAGCAGTGCCCTGCCAAAACTGTTTACAGTGGAGGTGGGCAGCTGCTGACCTCAACTGGGGACATCTTCGGATGGTGGAAGGAATACTTTGAGGATCTCCTCAACCCCGGCGCCATGTCTTTCGATGAGGATGCTGGATGTGGTTTTCCCCAACCTGACCTGCTGCTTCCTGTCTGTCACAAAGCACAGACACATGTGTCCTGACACTAATGTACAGACCTCAGCCTGTTTCCCTGCACCCTGAGGTGGAGGTGAGGTAACCATATCCAGGTGTGGTCTGAACACTCCTGCAGCTACACATTTCCTGTTCTCAGTCTCAGGTTGGTTTAAAGAGCAGTCTGATGTTTCTCAAGTCAGTCACAGTTTGATCCCCCGTTTACTGAAGACCATTATCAGTCCTGTTCACATCCAGAGTCACATCCAGTTCACTCCAGAACACCTGTTTTAGGGAGTTTCTCCTTATTCCAGGGTCTAAAGACAGAGCCCTCAAGGGAGTAAAGGCCAGACAATGTTGTCACTGAGGCCTAACATTCAATCCAGTCCTCACACATATAGACATACTAGACTCGCACACCTGAACACACCTGGATTCCTGAGGAGGAGGAGGAAGAGGCGTGTTGAGACCTGCAGCTCTGAGATCAGGTGGCACCACAGACCGCAGCTCACAGCTCATAGCTCATACTAGTGTGTTACAGCCACTGATGCTACTGTGCTGCTGTAAAACCACAGGACTGTTAGAGAACAAGGGCTGCTGCAGCAAAACAGAAGAGTCCGAAATAAAATCTGTGAGAAAAACGGAAAGAAGAAGAAACAAAGATGAGGTTGTTGTTTCTGGTCTTTGTGTGTCTGCTGTTGTTCATCTGCAGCATCTCTCCGATTCCTGATGATAAAGGTTCGTGCAAACAGCATGTCCATCCATAAGCCTTCTTCTTCATGGGTACATGGGTAGGTAGGGACAGATGTGACTTTCAGTAGTTTCACATCAGGACAAGTTTTTGTTGTTATTTTGTCAGTGTTTAAAGTGTTTGTCCTGGTTTCCCTGTCTTTGTGAGGACCCCTGCACGACTCTTAGACCCTGAGAGAAAACAGTTTGACAAAGTGAGGACAGGAGTAGTATGAGGAGGGCTGAGCAGTGACCTGGCTCAGTGGTCATGAGTTCACTCTGGACAAAAAGTGTTTGAACTAATTTAGATCACAGTTGGTGCAAAGTGAGAGGGTGTCAGAGGCGGTGTTCTCAGCTCTATCAGCTTTGGAAAAGCTGCCACCTGAGGCATCCTGACATAGTGTTTGAGTCTGATCTGCTCCACTATCACAGACTGGGGGTGATGGACTAACTGGTGTGTCGGTGCAAACAATGCAACACTGCTGCACTGAATATTAATGACACTGAAAGTATTAATCATAGTTTGGTTGTTGTTGTTGAACAGCTATGATCGTAGAAGCAGATTTCACATGCTGTAGAACCTAATGGTCCAAATTACATTCTGGTTTTAAATCCATTTCTGTGATTAGGTACTTTCTGTTTTCTGTACCTACAGGTAACTCATTCTTTTACAATGAACTCATATTTTTGCCTACTAGACTGACTAATGGTTGTTTCAAAAATTTTTAAAGAACATACTGTAGGTATGAATAAACGTACATCCCTTGTGTGCACCGGGTTCTGTCATAGTTTGATTTGTCATATATCATCTCTGCATTTAATGTGTTTAATTTATTGTCAAACAGTATACAAATGTTTGATTTCCCAAAATATCTGGTGTTAAAATATTTTAAAGGTCACCCATTATGCTCATTTGCAGGTTTACATGGTTATTTAAAGGTTCTGCTAGAAAACGTTTACACCCTTGTATGTTCATAAAGTTCTTTAGTTTCCTCAGAGTGCCAGCAGGGCCTGACCCTCTTTTCACCTCTGTGTGAACATACTCTGGTTTAACTCCTGGACCCTCCCTAAAAGCCCAGTGTGCTCTGATTGGTCAGCTTCCACAGCGCTGAATGGGAGCTGCATACCAACACCAATTCGTCGTTCCGGATTCTGGACAGCTCTGGTCTTCAGCATTAGCCACAGTTAGCTGCATTTGTACCATAAATTTCACCATAATAACCACTTCTAACCCAAAAGTTAAACAACCACAGGGGGAAGAGAGGGGGAGAGAGGAGAGGGAAGAGGAGGGGGAAGAAACTCAGAGCGTCATGGGGCCCCCCTGCAGCCTAGGCCTATAGCAGCATAACTAAGGAAGGCTCAGGGTCACCTGATCCAGCCCTAACTATAAGCTTTATGAAAAAGGAAAGTCTTAAGTCTAATCTTAAAGGTAGAGAGGGTGTCCACCTCCTGAACTGAGACTGGGAGTTGGTTCCATAGGAGAGGAGCTTGATAGCTAAAGGCTCTGCCTCCCATTCTGCTTCTGTGGACTCTAGGAACCACAAGTAAACCTGCACTCTGAGAGCTTTGTTGTGATGAAGCTCTATGAGGTCTTTAAGATACGATGGAGCCTTGTCATTAAGGGCTTTGTATGTTAGGAGAAGGATTTTAAATTCTATTCTGAATTTTACAGGGAGCCAGTGGAGAGAAACTAATATGAGAGAGATATGATCTCTCTTGCTAGTTCCTGTCAGTACTCTGGCTGCAGCATTTTGGATTAACGGGAGGCTTTTTAGGGAATTATTGGGACATCCTGATAGTAAAGAGTTACAGTAGTCCAGCCTGGAAGTAACAAATGCATAGACCAGTTTTTCAGCATCACTTTGAGACAGGATGCTCCTAATTTTTGCAATATTGCGCAGGTGAAATCCTCACAGTAGTACTGGAGGCCAGAGCTATGTCATCTAAAGTAACTATATGATTAGACAGCAGATTTCTAAGGTTTTTAGGCCCAAGCACAATGACTTCGGTTTTGTCAGAGTTTAGAAGTAAGAAGTTGCAGGTCATCCAGGCCTTTATGTCTTTAAGGCATGCTTGAAGTTTGACCAGCTGACCTGATTCATTTGGCTTCATAGATAAATATAACTGAGTATCATCTGCATAGCAATGGAAAATCAAATGTTGTACTGACCCTCGTTGAGAAACTACTCCATCGTGAAATGACTAGCACATAACATGCAATGTTTTAGGGATATCTTCAGGAACATTTCCACAATAAATATAGAATATCCACTGTCTTTGCTGGCTCTGAGGATGGAAGTAGGTAGAGACTTGTGTTCGTTTGTGCACCCAGCAACCGAGCGGACTCTGTGCTTTCCTCTGAGCTGTGCCATGGTGCTGTTCGTCTGCTGTTCTAGTGAAAACCACGGTGGTGGACCGGTAGCACCAAAATGGATCTGAGTGGGAGGAGGATCTATGAAATGAATTGCCACATCATTTCATATGAGGTCATAAAGAGAGACAAATTTGAACAGTATGTTTGATCAGGGGTTTTTATAAATGTGGAAAAGGCAAAACAGGAAGAGACGGCTCTTTTTCCATATTTTGGTGTCTCTACATACTGGATACCCATGTGATTGTCAGAAAATGCTCTAAAAGTGAATTCTGGATAATGTGTCCTTTAACAATCATGTGAAGTAGATTTTAAAAGTAGACTTTGCAGGTCTACAGACAGGCCGATGTATTTTCTGCTCTCTTCAGACGTACAGATGTGTTTTCTGGTCTCGGCAGGTCTACAGACAGATGCTTTCTGGCCTGCAGGTTTGCTGAGACCCGAGGTCAACAGCACTTCTAACCACAGCACCCTGAACCATAAGAAGCTGGAGAAGATACAGTGTCCGATCACCACCCTGTACCTGCCGGTCGTCTACCTGCTGGCCTTCATCGTGGGTCTGCCTTCCAACCTGCTGGCTCTCTGGGTCCTGGTGTTCAGAACCAAACCGCAGCCGTCCAATACACTGCTTATCAACCTGACTGTTGCTGACTGCCTTCTGCTGATGGTTTTACCATTTCGTATCATGTACCACTTTAGAGGAAACCACTGGGACCTGGGCCAGTCTTTCTGTCGCATCGTCATGGCAATGTTTTACGGTAACATGTACGGATCCATTTTGTGTCTGGCACTTGTGGCTGTGGATAGATACATTGCTTTGGTTCACCCTTTCAGTGCCAAGATGCTGCGTAGCCAGCGGATGTCTCTGTGCATGTCTGCGGTGGTGTGGGTGGTAGTGCTGGCTGCCATGCTGCCACTGCTGGTGTCACAGCAGACCTACAAGCTGGACCAAGCAAACATCACCATCTGCCACGACGTGCTGCCCGGGGAGGTGCAGGAGAGCTTTCTCCTGCCATACTTTGCCACTTTATTCACGTCCTGCTTCCTGCTGCCCTTTGTGGTGATCCTGTTCTGCCACGGCGCTGTTCTGCGCACCCTGTTGGCTGAGGGGAAGCGCTACGGCCATGCCATCAGGGTCACAGTCCTGGTCCTGCTGGTCTTCATTGTGTGTCTGCTGCCCAGCAACATCCTCCTCCTTCTCACCTACATCGAGAGCACAGAGGGTTTGTACATCCCCTACATGGTTAGCTTAGGGGTTAGCGCCTTTAGCAGCTGCATCGACCCCTTCATCTTCTACTATGTGTCAGCAGAGTTCAGGGACAAGGCCAGGAGTGCTCTGTGTTGTTGCTGTAACTCCGGACACCACCTGTCCTCTCATTCGGCACCTGATGTCTGAGGCCCAGTACACATGGTGGCCTTGGAGAATACAACTAAATAACACAAAGAGACAATTAAAATATGTCTGTTACTGAAGGAACAGAACAGCTCTGAGGGAGCAGATGTTTAATCTCTGAATAAATCTATAACCAGTTTGTGAGAGAGCACAGGGTCAGTCTGATGCCAGAATGATATTTCACAACACACACAATTCTGTTCAATGATAAATGTCATGTTAGAGGGATGATGATGATGTGAGATGGGAATCAGAGAATATTTATAGGATGACAGTGTAATGAGACTGAACCTCCAGACCAGACTGATTTAAGCTTTATGTGAAATACAGGGGCTCCAGCCAAAACTTGGAACAGGCTCAACATTTGCTGCAGTGGTTTGATTATTTAAGCTTTATGTGAAATACAGGGGCAAACGTTCCTGGTGGCTCTAATTTTACTGGTTGCCTCATGAGGAAAGACAATTACTGCCATGACAGCTGTCCACAGACCCTACCACCCCAACCCAACATTGTATTTAATGTAAAGAAAACTCCTTTCCATTTATCTGAACCAAAGCCAGAAAACATATCTATAAATATGTTTTTGAAGAGACGCTTCAACATGATTCCTTAGATTAATTATCACAAATGCTAACTGGGAATCATATATTAATATTTTCATAATAACACTGGGATTAATGTCACAAGACATATTTCATTTGTTTATGTAATTTACTGCTTGTCCTACAAAACTGCAAAAGATTTATCAACTATAATAAGGATTTGCTGGACTTTTAAGTTCTGTATTTCTCAGTTTCTAGAAATTAATAAACTTCCGGTTATTCACTTTCTTTATGGATATTTCAGTATTGCTCAGCTGACTTTGATTTTGATTTGATTTATTCTTTCAAACATGCAGAACAATGACATCAACACACACACAATTACACAAATCCAACCAGTACTAATCCAGAATTCATTCATTCATTTTCTACCGCTTAGTCCCTGAACGGGGTCACGGGTGGGGCTGGAGCCAATCCCGGCCAGCAATCGGGCGAAGGCAGGGTACACCCTGGACAGGTCGCCAGTCCATCGCAGGGCTAACACATAGACGAACAACCACACATACACGCACGCACTCCTATGGGCAATTTAGAGACACCAATCAACCTAAGCTGCATGTCTTTGGTCAGTGGGAGGAAGCCGGAGCACCCGGAGAGAACCCACGCAAGCACGGGGAGAACATGCAAACTCCACACAGAAAGGTCCCAGGTGGGGCCCGAACCC